CTCATAAAGCAATCGGCAACATTCGCCAACGCGAACTACAACGGACCAGAAGCCGCCAAAGCCATAGATCAAGGACAGGTGCATGGTGTATTCTTCGGCGTTCCATGGATAGCTAATCCGGATTTCGCGCGGCGATTGGAGCAGGGCAAATCGCTCAATGGCAAGGTGAATTTTGCGACGCTGTACGGTAACGGTGGCGACATCGAGGCGCAGAGGAGAGGCTACACGGACTATCCAACGGCAGACTAGAGGCATGTAACATCGCGATTGTAATGCGATGCGAAAGTGATCAGTCCAACGTTCGGTCAAGTATGAACCAGATCTACGCCCTCGACGCTCGTGTCAACTTGAGCATAATAAATCTCAGTTTCACTGAGGAGCACTACACGCCCTTGACCTGCGAAGGCGAAATTCGAGGATCCCTTCCCAAGGTAGAATTTGCCCAATAACTTGCCCTCGGGATTCCACACTTGAACACCATCTCCACAACCACCCCATACGTTACCTTGATTGTCTACGCTAATGCCGTCCGCAGCGCCGGTGTCAACATAGGCGAAGACACGGCGGTTAGTGATAGCGAGTGTGTTCGATTGTACGTCATATGCATAGCTGAAGGAAATTAGCAAGTGTGGGACTTGAGGAGCCTTGACTGCTTACATGGTAGCAGGATATGTATAGTTGTTGGGGAACAGTCCTCCCAAGGTGCCAGTGTCCGCGCTACATAACGTGAGCGTTACATCTCTGGACATTGGGTAAAATGGCGAACATATAGACAATCGAATAGTCGGCATTGAAGGCTAATCCGTTTGGCTTCATCACGCCATCGACCGCGACGCGCACTAATCCGGTATCTGGGTTGAAGCGATAAACCTGATTCGGGAGTAGAGGCTCGGGTTTGAAGTACTGATAGAATCCATAGCTACAAACCGCTTGTTAAGTTAGATACTGGTGTGCATGTACTGGAAATACTCACGCGACGTCGGTAAAGAAGATTTCGCCACTCGGATGCACCTTGACGTCGTTTAGAGAGTTGAACTGACGACCAAAGAAGTTGTCGAGCAGGACTGTCACGTTGTACGGCGGGTACGGGTTGATGGCGACCATATTCGCAGGAAGCGCACCTCGGCCCTGGTTCATGATGAGGAGGTTACCTTTGTACGGGCCTGTTCCGCCGTTGGTCATCTGGACTGCGTCGTCCAATGCCAACTGTCGGAGATGAATACGAGGACCGCGATAGAAAACGCGAAGCTCACAGAAGTAACCGTGACATTGATAGACCTCGTTCCATTGCCAATCGCTGCCGCAACTTCCTGAAGAGAGATCTTGCCCATTTGGTTGTTTTGGTCCAGTTCGCTGCGTCCCAAGCTCCCTCCACCGTTGCTCGTGAAGAAGACCTCGTCCGAGTCCGGTACCCATACTGGTGCTTCATGTGCAAACGCAAAGTCCGGGTTACTCGCAACCAGTCGTAATGACGGTTCGCTCCCAAGGATGCTGAGGAAGTGGGATCGAAGATTTGGAATATAGGCGCTGAGGAGTTTGTTGGGTTGAACGTCATCGAAGAGTTCACGCGCCAGTCGTATGAGGAGCCCAGGACTGCGAAGGATGACGGGGAAATGTACTGGAAATATGCCTCAGCCGACTTGCTTTATGAATGTTCCGACGTACCACGGACTGAGCTGGGAGAGACACATCTTGGGACACCACACCAACCACGAGGGATATGATAGCTACTTTCAAAGACATCAGAGGCGGAGAAAGAGGCGACATAGAGAATGTTATGTATACCACACAGGGCCGGTTTTTGAGTCACTGATCAAAGAGGCGGCTACAGCCTACAGGGTCCTATATATATTGGTTCCACCCCAGATGCGTGTTCCGGGGAAGGTTACAGAATCGCAACGGAAGCAAAGCTGGTTCTTGTGGAAGGCAAACGCACCTCGACATCAGATTGGCCACGACGAATTTCGAAGCGCCTCGCCCGTTGCGCTCCAGAGATGGCGGTAGACGCGCGGCGCACCGTTTCATTGGGAAATCTGGGGAGCGGGGTGGAAACAATTTGTCGGGCGGCCAGATAAAATTCCGGTATGTGTTGGTACTGGTCCCAGACGTCGGCGACGATGATTGCTGCTGCTATTGATGATAGGAATCTATGCACGCATGCCAAGGCAAAAAGCGCTGTGCAAAAGGAGAACATTTACTTCTGCCAATGGCGGGCACAATTCTCGATACAGGAAATCGGTGTCTGGAGATGGTTCCTAGTTGTTCCTCCTCTGTGAACGTCATTTTGTCCCATGGCATCAGTATAGTAACTTTAAGGGACCAGAGGCGACAACGAGGATATGAATAGAATGAGGCCTAACCGGTGGGTTCCCAGATCCTGGAGTGGTGGACGTGCCAGCGTTCGAAGCGTTGAAATCGTCATTTGTCGAACGAGAGCAGGAGAGAGTAATGCATAGATTTGAATTCTATTATACGCATCGTGTACAACAAGCTAGCGCCTAGTAGCATCGAAAAGGCAGGTCAGTCGGCACAATAATGACACATCTATATAAATACCGTTCTGGCAAGAGACGAAATGGTAATCTGGAATGCAGCTTTGCTTCCACACAGGATACCTAGACCACAGGGGAATCGGTCAACAGCATAGTCCCGGAGAGATTACACACAAGCTCCTTCAGTCCCAGGTCCAGGACAGAATGTCCTGAGGTGCCTTGCTCTCGACCTTCTCACTAACGCCTCTCCGTGCCGCTGTCCAGAACAATCGACTTCCGAGTAGTCCCAGTAGTACTAACCTCAGGCGCGTAGGTCATGCGCGCAATAACATCGTCCACAACTTTGAGGATGCGCCCAAAGTCGACAGGGAAGGTAGGTCAATCGTGGGCAGAGTGGGTGATGGTTGGGGGAGAAAAGGCGCGGTTTCCACTTTGGGCTAGTACGAATTGGGACGGTCTGGACTTGGCGCCTGGATCGTTTACCGCGAACGCGATCTCTAGACGCGACAGGCATGTCCAAGCGATTGCGAAAAACAGCCATGTATGGTTAGTGAAATTTGGTCTGGTGATTATTCAGTTTGTATACAACCTACTCTTCGATGAATTGGATCAGCAAGCCTATTAGGCGAGCGGCTGAGAAACCGAATTAATTCGTACTCCGTTCGCCAAGTTCAACCTTGAACATTGGGTGTATCATATGTATCTGGCGCCTAGCGAGAAACATGCACGTTCGTAGCGTCAGCCTGATGTCGTTGGTCCCGGCGTAAAGCACCGGAACCACGCCCAAACACTGGGACTTCTGCAGCTGCCTGCCAGCACACTTATCCTACAAAAATCGGAGTAACATCGTGCTTACTGAGGGCTATCCAACGGGTTCCTCGCGCACGGCCTTCACTTGTATTGCGACAGCCTCTGGAACTCCCATGGAACTATCAAGAATTTGCAGCTATACGTACTATGTTCAGTCGACGGTGTTCCTGGGTTAAGGTGGGGTGGGACCTTGCAGAACATGCACGTCAATCAATCCCATGAGACGAACCCTTCAATCAATTCTCCACACCACAGCAGGCCAATTGACAGTACAGGATCGTGAGCATTAGGTCCCACGAGGTCGTGTGAGCGTAGTTACCTGGACGTTCATGACTCGGATCCCCGCATTCCAAGCCAGTGAGTGGTCCATCGCTATTCTATTATTAACCTGTATCCTGTAGATGGAATCCTTCTCGAACGATGCGTCATTGTTCGGAGATTCGGGACGTCCCACCGAAGGTTTGGCAGACGGTGAAAACGGAGAGAGGATTCAGAGATGCTTCGCGGGAGTGTGTTTGCCGAAAGATCGATGTGATGAGGGAGAATGTCGGTTGTTTATCTCCGCCACATCCATTGCACCCGGCGGGTGTGATTGTTATGGTGCTAGAATGACTGTTGGCGCGCGCGTACGAGCTGAATGGTGCAGCTTCTTCTCATGACTTTATCGGTCCGCATACGACTCAGAAGGCGGTCCGGTGAGTAAGGCGGTGGGGATTAACCGCGAGGAACGGGAGCAGGGTTAGGCTTGAGAGCCGTAGGCTGCTCGGATCGCAGTGATGTATAATGAAAGGTCCACGATGGAGAGATGAATCTGATTACTTAATTTCCATGCAGACTATGAAGGTGTTTGCAGTATGAAGGTGTTTACTGAATGAGAGCTTTGATTAATAGCGCACGCCGTGTGTTTACCATACACCCACCTTTGCCACAAGCCCCAAGTTATTTCGAGACAGCTTTCAGTAATAAAAAAACCCGATTACTAGCGCGGCATTCAGAATATCCAATCGGAGAAGCACTCCACCGCGAGAAAGACACACAGGACTGGACGAGGAGGGAGACTCCTCTGGGGCTACTCGGCGAAGGACTTCGCAAGGTGGTTACCATAATACACAAGAGAGGAAGTACACATTCAGAGAAAAGAAGTCATCCGATAAAAATGGACAAAGATAGTCCAGTCTCGAACCCAAGAAACTTACAGTTCACGGCATGTGCCGCGACGGACAGCCCCACACGAAGAGCAGTACGGATGACGGTACTCTGATAACACAGACACGTACAAAGTGTTCCAATGAGTCGAGACTCCGGCGGCATAGTTCGAAGCCAATGAGATGCGAGCAGCCGTAACGACTCCCGTGTTGTGAGCGTTCAATCAGAAAGAAGTCGATGAGTCGGCTGATAGTTAAGAGTCCAAGCTCAGGTTTCGTGGTGCTTAAGCGCGTTCGACCAAGCGATCCCACGCACCATCAGAATCAAGATGCAGACATGTCAGCGACATGTAGGGTCGATTGGGGTATTAGATGTCCGCTGATGAACATCGGCTCCGAGTTGTGAGTAGGAGCCGCGAAGCTCCCGAGTCGGATTGCCACAGTAGTTGTTACGAATTGAGTGTGGCGCAATGCGATTGTTGACAAGGAGAAAGGACGACGATGATTATCAGGGCTGGGACGGACCAATCGGATCGGGCGGGGCAATCAAACATCTCTGATAGTATATCGGTTAGTACACGCGCCTGTCAACAACCGGGGTGTGCGCGCGAAAGCTGGGTTCGACTCCCAGTCAGAGAGTCACAAGTTCAAAGATAGCATTTTTGTGCCGTGCTGTAATGTTGAGCTTGGCTTCACGTACGCTTTTCTTATTCTGGCTTGGTAGAAACGCTACTTTGACCCCGTTTCGTAGCCGACGACGCGTTGTTTGTTCGGTTGATTCATACATATGGGCATACGCCGTAACTATATACAACTTACTGTAATAATATGGACGGGGGTGCGTACATATGAGCCGCATACGTACGTGGAAAGTTGATCGCCGTCGAGCGGCGTCCTTTAGCAGACATGGAGGATGGTTGGAGTGGTTGTGCAAGTACTGCCGCTGAGTTGGAATCGGAAGAATAGACTGTCACGAGTGGAATTCAAGTGATTATGGCAAAATGAGATGGATATGTATAGAAGAGGTTGTGCGCCTTACGTAGACGGGTGACAGATTTGGTAAGGCGGGGATCACAAGAGACGAATGGGGCCTTGATCGGGGGGTCTGAATTGCCTGATTGGGATGCGAGCAGGCTGCAGCAAGATGAGCTCGATGCAGCCGCGTACCAGGAAGACCGGCTGGCTAACGGGGAGTAGGCGGCTTGGAGAGCAGGGCGAGCACGGCGCACAGTCAATAGACCAGGCGAGCCGGTGGCTTTACTTCATTTCCGTCCGGAGGACGGCCAATCAGACACGCGGAGTTGGCCGAAAAGCAAGCGGTCCTGGGGTGAATCAACATCGGAGTTTACACACGCCATTGCTCAAAGGGTTCTTTAGATAAACGTTCCAACGACGAACTATGCTTCCCCGCCAGGTTCTGCCACCCAACCATGCTCCTCTCCCTCCCACAAGAGCTGGTCGAAATTGTTCTATTCCACTACGCCTGCGCCGACGACGATGGCAGGACCTGCTCCCTGCGCCCTCTCGAACTAACATGCAGGGCCCTGCGTCGAGTGATCTTGCTCTCGAATGACCTCGCCGCTCGCGTTTTCCGTGCGAAATTTGCGACCAGCCGCCATGCGGGGATGGAGAGGCTGACGGCGGCGGAGTGGAGATACCAGCTCGCCTTGTATGAGGGCGCGCTCGCATGCGTACAGAGACGGCCGGTCATCGACGGGAACAGCGAGCATATGGCCGGGGAGACAATGTCGCTCGACGAGCTGCTGTGGAAGCTGTACGTGATGTGTCACGACGACGACGAGAGCGGCGCAAACAGGCGTCAGCTCGACATCGTCGGAACCTACGACTGGATCCAGGATCTGATACTCAATCACCTCAACCATTCCGCCAATGGCTGGCCTGCAGACAACACCACCAACACCCTCTTGTTATGGATATTCTGGTTTCTGACCACAAAAGGTGCGCGACCGTGTATTAGACGTATGTGTGGCGTACTCATATCCTTCAGAACGCATACTCACCGAATCACCGAGCATCAGTGACGCTATCGTCAAACTCATCCTCCCTTTTGTTGTTGGCCACTTTCGATACGCGACAGCCTGGGCGCCACCTAACCATTTTTATCTTCCGCTGTCGTCCCAAGTTGTTCTCTCGCGCCGCCGATTGAACCAAATACATTATCTCTCCGTGGAAACCCCGCACGGCTCCTTCCCAAAATATAGACAACACCTCCCAAAATGGAACCATGTCTTCTTTGGTCGCCGTATGAACCTAACGGAACCTCTCATCACCATTGCCGCCAAACTGTGCTACTTTGTCCGTCGAGAGTGTTTCGCTTACAGGATTCCTATCGGGCTTCCGCCAACCCGTGCACAAGCAGGATCCAACATTGGACCTACTCTCGAGGACATTCACGAACTGAATCGCCACCTTCTTGGCGGACCAGCTGGAAGAGGTGGTGGCACTAGGATCGGCTGTAACTTTAGTCGTGCAGAGTGGGAGCGCCTCCGCAACTGCGCCGACCCATGGCAAGGCGCCCCACATACTCATATCTACACACCTGGAACCATGTCCGGTCTATGGGTGGGGAGGATGAGTGTAGGTGTATTCGCTCCTCAACGACGTGTATTTGACCTTCCCTAGATTCCCGTTGAACCGCGGCTGGCTGAGATGCTTTCTACTGCGGAATTGAATCCCGCCACGAGCGAGATGTCCCTCGGTATGATCACCGCGCCGATGTACATGCGCATCGAAGAGCTCGTGTCTCGATGTGGCGCGCCTGTTCTTCCGTCAACGACGCGGTCAGCACCCGTCGTAGATATTGACGGCGACGAGGACGAGGACATGTCGACTCACATCGCTCTCCCCCGAAGAATCTGCCGAGCTCAACCAAAGGTTGCGGTCCACCTTTGACGACGGCATGTTCAACGCTTACTTCCAATGTTTCACGTTCCGCGACGCGCGTGAGGTGTACACATCGACGCCCCCGTCTCAAGGAGCCGTATGTCTATCAACGGCTTCCAGTCGCGCACGATTCCGAGACGTGCCCAGGGTGCGTAGCGCGCGAGGAAGAAACCTCCAGGCGTATGATGGACGGTTCCATCGAAAGTGACGGTGATGATCTATGCCGTGAAAGGCTTCCGCCTTGTACAGGCGTTCAAGATGTCGTGCTGCGCGGAACCACTGACAGTCGCCATGCTCAGGCATGGAATGACTACTCTTACTACGGGAGGATAAGACAGTGGGACGGTATGGTCACGTTAATGCGCGTTGGAGGTCCGACGAGTTTGTTTCTGTACGGGTACATCACCGGCGACGGGCGGGGTCTTGTTGGGAACTGGAGGATAGGCACCGGAGAAGTAGGGGTTCCCTCGTATGAGGGTGCATTTACGATGGGTCGTGTGGATGAGACGCCCATTGCATGAAAACACGACTATACTCGGACGTGACACGCCTTATTGGACAGGTACATTTTTACATGACATTCATATATCTATTCCGTACGGTGAGGGAAGGGGAGAGGGACATCTTGTTGCTCATTTATACCACCACTATGCTCATTTTATCTATTTTATCCACTTGTATCGCATCGCATCATCTTGTACAGTAGCTTTTCTTGATCTCAATAGAGTCTGTTCTCGTCGTGCCACGGGGTGGGGCACTAGGCTGCGCGTGGGTACATTCAAATGGGCATGCGACATTGCGTCCGTACAGGTGGACGTAATAGAGCTTTGGGCCAATTGGCGCACTCGAGACTCGTCCTCGGGGATGGAGACAATGCGAAGAAGGTTCAAGGGGAGCGACCATGCGCGAAATCTGCCTGAAATCGTGGATCTCGATGACAATGAAGGGATCTGTTAACGCGACAGCCTGTTTTTGAGCTTCTACCGCGCGCATGGAGGATACCTTTGGTGTAATGTGGCGGTTGGAAGCATGGAGCGGTGACGCGAATAAGCATACGTTGGACGGACGCTGCAGAGAATAAAATCAACAATAGACTGCCGAGATTGAATGCTACCACTTCCCATTCAGACGTCGAACTCGCCGTGGCGTAGTATGAATAGAGCCGCGACACTTGTCGTGCTATCTGGTTCTAACGCCATCCAATCCACGCAGGGAAGAAGATCCGCTTCTTTTTATCTGAAGAAGAATCTTCTGAGTCGATCCACCCTCCCATCGAGACAATCCGAATGTCATGGAGGATACGCTTCCCCGATCGACGGTCGAGGGCTTAGGAGCGCATTATTGGATACACAAGGTATGACATTGCCTAGGCTGATCAACACACAATCTCGTGTTCACGAAACTCTGAGGTCGGGAGGAATGTTGGAAGAAAGAACCACCTACCTGTCCTTCGGGCCAGTCACAGCCTGAGTCAGTGTTGACCGTTGGCCCCATGAAGCCAACTTCTACTTGATGGGGCGCAAGTAGGGAGCAATAACCTCGCGTTTCGTGGGCACCGGTTTCGTGGGCACCTTGTCCACTTGGAAAAGCGGAAGTATGTGATTGGCTCTCTGAAGAAGAAGCTCCCTCAACACCATCGAATCTGGCTGCCTTGGCATTGTCTGCGGCGCCCTCCAAGCTGGAAGGAGTTTGCTGGGGTCGTCAATAGCAGTTGGGGTAACATAACTGGAGAGCCGGGGAGGAATCTGAACTTTCCACCTCTAGCGGCGATAGCACTTGGCGCGTAGACAGGCTTCGGAACGGTCTAAGCTCAAACGCGCGCATATATTCGATTTAATCAACGTACCTCCTTCGCTTTGATTTGTTCGGGCGCGTCTGGATGGTTTATGCGGCCAAGATGCCACAACTGTGCGCTGGTCAGTTTGATTCTAACTCTGGCCCGGGAACAGAAACGTACCTGCGCGTAAATCTTGCCCCCTTCGCCGTGCACGGCGTCCGTAACCTTTCTCCATCCTTTCACATGCTCTTCTGACCATAATCCGGGCGCGTTTTGCCATTCCGATCTGCAAGACGGATAAAGGTGAGCGTGGAAACTGAGGAATCGATACCTACCCTTGCTGGGTAATGAGAGTACCCTCGGCTACAATGAGACCAGCGCCACCAGCAGCGCGTTGACGATAGTATTCGACGTTGACGTCGTTCGGCACAGTCGTAGGGACAGAGCGATTTCGCGTCATAGCGGCGAGAAGGACGCGATTCCTTAGAGTATGGGGGCCCAACTGAAAGGGCTGGAAGAGCGAGGTCAAGGTGGGCATCGTGGTGGTTTTCGTCAAGGACGGATGCGGACGATGTGCGCGCTTCTATTGGACTCGATCCAGCTGGCGATCAAATGCGTGTCATGACAGGCGCCAACCAAAGTTGGGGTAGTCCATTTTTGGGTACCTGGTGGTGTCTAGACGAAGGTAAGGTAGGATTCGAAACTGCTTGCTAGTGGTGGCGGGGGAAGAGGATTCAGGACCACGTGCAGCTTGCCTTGAATCAATGAATGCACCAAAACATCAGTTAAAATATCATTGTGGCCTGTACTATCGAAAGGCTTCAGCACGATTTGACTGGCCATCGAGGAGAATGTTCAACAGCGCCTCACATTTAAACAGTATATCATTCTTATTTGGGTGCTATACGTCGTCTTAAATCGTCTGCACCAATAATAGCATCCTTATCCACAAATTCGC